ACCTTTGTGTCTTAAGTAAAAAAAGATCCTAGCCTTATTCTAAATTAATTTATGTGAAAAAATCTATTTTGAAAAAAATGTCATTTTCGGTCCTTTTTCCAGCACCTAGCCCAAATACAGTCTAACCTCGTTATAGTCACTCTTGATATAGTCACAACCTTGATATAATCTCACTATTTTTTAACTCAAGCTAATATAAAAACATCACAATTTGACCTTTATATAGTCACAACTTTTTATAATCACCAGATTCTTGTTTCCCAAGCTGGTGATTATATCGAGATTAGACTGTAGATGTTAATTAAAATAAAAAACTTAGTAAACAATTAATACTATATTATAAAATTCTTAATACTAAAATTATTTATAATAAAGTTTTTAAATTTTATGATTGGAATAAATTATTTTTTTTTTTTGAATTATTGCAACTTTATTAAAAAAAAATAAACCAATAATTCTTATTTTTTTTTAAATTAATTAATTATTATACAGTCTTTAGAATGAACATCCGGAACATACATGGATAATAGCCAAATAGTTTATCGTATAATATTAATACAGTTAGATCGGGACCTCTATAAGTGCACTTCCTAAGTGCACAGATTATGTAAATTCTCTATAGTCCGGTCCCAGTTTATAAGAGCTCTATATATTTTGCTCTCTATAAATGCACACCCTCTCTAACTGCACACTTTCAATTTTTTTCCTATGGTCCCGAGGGGGTGCATTTAGGAAGGTCAGACTGTAAGTCAGACTGTAAAAGGGAATATATGAATACTAAAGAGTTCTGCAAAATATGACGAAGTAATTCCCTTATTGGACTCGTGGGACTCTAAAAACGAATTTCGCGTGATTAATATTAATTGAATATTACCGAGTTTGTGTTACAGAATGTTCGAATCTAAGTTGAATATTCATTTATAACCGTGGAAATTTATGGACCCCACCTCTATTACTATTCATATATACATAGTTGTATTAGTATAAACTATCAATTGCTAGTTAGTTATTATTATTCTATTTAACCGTTTAACAAAATGCTCTTGTATGATTATGCTGTATTTTACTTTTTATATTTTTTGTTTTTTCTTAAATTTTATTTTACTTATGCTGCTTTTATTCCGAATGGAAGATTTTTTCATTCATCAGTACTTATTGATAAGAAATTCTATTTTAGTGGTGGATATCGTGGTTTATATTCTAACATTACAAATGAAATTTTCTATTTGGATGTTTCTAAATCATTTATGACAACCGATGATGTTTCGATATCATGGATTGACCTTACTTATACCGGCGGTCCTTTTAAGGAACAAGCTACAGCATGTATTGGTGGAAAAAATAATGATATGATTTTTATTTTGGGTGGTTCTCATTCTGATCAACCATTAGTTAATCAATTTGATCCAAATAAACAACAATGGATTAATATCACATCTGCTGGAAATGGACCTTTTTATATGTCAGACATTTCATGTGCTAATTTCAATAATGGATTGATTGCCATTTTTGGTGATTTTCCCATGAAAAATAATCTTTGGATATTAAATACGTTAACATTAACTTGAAGTTTAAGCAATGGAACCAATGCACCTCCATATCGTGAGGGCTATTGTGCAATTACTTTGTCTGATAATAATATTTTTTACATCGGTGGAGCTGATCCTACTAATAATTCAGCAATGCCAATGAATAATGTAAGTTTTGAATTTTTTAGACTGCTTTTTTATCCTTCATCCAATAATGTTAATACTTTGTAGTTACCCTTATATAATACAAAATCTGATACGTGGACAAATATTGTATGTAATGAATGAATATAATTTTTTTCATGTTTTCTTAGCTTGGGATATTGTCCAAACTATTCGGAACGGCCAAAACTCTTATCAAATTGGGTTTTCTTATATATATATTTACTATTTATTGTTATTGTCAAATTATATGAGACTAATTATTTTATAGTTTGGGTTCAAAAATTCTCTTAGTAGCTAAAATCTAATTATGATATCTCATTAGAGTACATCTGGCCCAACACCACCTAGTCGCTATTTTTTCTCTGCGGTATTAAGCATGTCATTAAACAGCATCAAAAAATATTTTAAATTAAGCTCTTCTATTAATCTTTAAATTAAAAGCTCCCGACGGACGTATTATAATTTTCGGTGGTTTGAACGGAGCATTTTTCGGCGATCTATGGATTTTAGATATTGCAACATATCAATGGTCAATTGGAAACATTTTAAACCCAATAGTAAATCTAACTCTGTATGGACATTGGTGGATAATTATATGCTTCTTGCTTTTGGTAAATTTTTATGCTGTTTACTTTAATTTTTATCTAAGTTTGCTAACCTCTATTTACACAACAGGCGTGTTTTCAGATCGTAGTCTTTCATCAAAAATATTTATTTTAGATATAAGCCAAAAATATTCCTATAAATGGGTTACTGAATTTATTTCAAATACTACAATTTCAAGTAATATAACCCAAAATAATATGATTCCATATACTTCCAACTCTAAAAAAATTAGCATAAAGATTATGGCATCATTTTTTGGTAGCACTTGTTTTGTCATTATTTAACTTTTGAGATTTATTGATTAATATAATAAATGGGTTTACTAAATTTATTCTAAATAATATTAATTGGTTGTTTATTTAATTAATATTATGCCTCTTTTAATTATTAAACAAGCATTGTCCAAAATTGATTACGATCAAAATCAAATGCAACCAGATATCATGATATTGATAAAATTTTAGAAAGTAATTCTAGTTCAAAATATAAATTGAGTACACTAATTATAAAATTAGAATATCTTCAAATTATTTATCAGCAATTAATTATGAAGAAGTCAGAGAAGTATTATACTTCAATACTGAAAACAACCGAATTAAAGATAATTCTAGAAGGTATTATTTGTTTTTATAATTTAGTCATAAAAAAATCTACTTTTTAGACAATATTGTATAGTCATAAATAACGCAATTTCATACATTAATTATCCATTCGTTAATTATCTCATCTATCTGTTCTGTGCATTATTTTATCAATCTTAACATTATCTGAAACTCCCATATTATTTTGCATAAAGATCAAAATCTAGAATTTTTTAACAAATAAAGGCCTGATAAATGAAATAATTACCGAAAAAAAATAATTTCATATAAGGACCCAATTTTAAAATTATTACGAATAGGAAACTAAAATTTTATACGCATAAGAAATGAATAAACGTAATTTAATAATTATTATAGAAATATAAATTCTATTTTTTTTTCTTTTTTCATATTAGAGGGTTAAAATACGGCAATTAGAAAACCAAATAGGAGTATATGTAAATGTAATTTGTAAGCTTTTTAAAAAAATATAAGATTTAAGATCGTTCAATTTAAAATAATACATCACTTATTTTATTTTTGGGTTTGAAATTTCAAAATCCAAATAGGATTTTTTATATCTTTAATTATTTATGAAATCACCTATTTTATTTGAAATTAGACGTCAAATTATTCATCTTCGTTTATTTCTTCAAGATCAATGCATGCAATTAAAAAAATTCTCTACTTAATGTTTACTTATTATAATAATTGGTTTTTGTAACGTCATTATTTATAATAATTTTAACCCCTAGCCTAGTGTTACAAATCGGACCAAAAAATGCAATCTATTAGTTGGCCAAAAATTTTTTAAAATCGATTAGATTTTCAATTTGGAACACTATTCTACCCTAACTAAAGTTAATGTTAGTAGGTAATGGAATTGGAATCCTATTGAACCTAATTTATATAATTGGACTATTTTTAAGTTTCTTTTTTTTTTTTTAAAAAAAAAAAAAAAAAACGAGTATAATTCTGATTTAAAAACATAATTTAAGAATATATCCATTAGGGGGTTTCAAAGTTAACAAATAAGTGGCGCATTTTGAAATTAAATGAGAGTTTGAAAAATCTTATTTGTTTTTCAAGATTTTAAAATCGGAAAGTGAAATGGGAGTGTTTGGAGATCCCCATTTCATGAAATCGGAAAATTTTTATAATACTTCGTAAAAAATAAATAAATAAAAAGTAAAACTTTCATTCAAGTTGAAGATAAGATCAGATTGCCGGATCACTTATTTCAAAATAAATACGTCATCAATTTCAATTAAAATTGGATTTCCGCATTTTAACTTTGAAACCCCCTATTATTAAATCCTTCTCTTTTAATTAGCATTTATAACTGAAAAATGTTGTTTACATCGAAATTTACCTGAATCCAATAAAAACTCATTTTTCACATTTGCGGTAGTTTCCGTCTTTCTACTGCAAGGCCCCATTTCGAATAATGACCTGAATTAAGCTTAATTTGGGCCATAATTCAAAATTACACCCCAACGCGTTATTTTCAATACAGTACGTAAATACATCCGGATCATAAACTTCATTGGATTTATATCAATAGGTTCGAGCAGATTTTTTATGCACAAATGGCTGAAGCAATTTGTTTATACAGCCCACAAACGTACCAACGAACAAATATCTCAAAAGCCAAAATAATCACAAAATATGAAATTGTATTTTAATAAAATAAGGCTTTAAACTAGCTTGTTCATTACTGGTATATACTATACATTTGTATAAACAGTTTAAGCTAACCAGCTTAAGCAGCATATCGAATTACTTTGTAATTAATGGACCAACTCAATATTTCTTATCAGAACAAATGTTCTATTATATATATGGAATTGAGAATTTTGATTCGAGTATTTGTTCCAAAGAAGATAATTTTGAAAAAAAATTGTATAATGATAAAGAATTAACAATGGGAATTTCTATGCGTTAGAATCATCACATGATTTTGTACATGTATAGATTGTGGAGCTTCACCCGAATGGCTTTGAATTTTAACAACGGTTCATAAAACTGTAATTGCTAATTGACCAAGGTTTTCAATTCATTGCATTATTAATATCTAACGTATTAAATAAATGGAAGAGTCTAAATTATCTCAATTTTCAGAGTCACCTTCGATTTATTCATCAATAAAGATAATATTGAAGTCTTCTAATGTTAATTTACTTTTGAATATTGTTCCTTTTGGGATTGTGAGCAAGTTTGCAATTTGGTCAGATACATCGATTTTCTTTTTGAATTTCCTGGCAATTATTCCTTTAACGTGGCTGCTGTATTACGGTAATTTACCTTTAGTATTCCAGTAAATATCTTGAAATATCGTGATATTCTTTTCAGTTATAGTATTGATACAATTTATCCGCAGTGACAAGAGAAATTTCTTTAAGTGTTGCATCGCCAGTTGAATGGTGGTTATGCAATGTATTTGGCAATTTTGGCAACCTAGCTGAATTTATCACCTATACCCTTATGCTTTATGATGGGCTAGTTAGTGTAGTTCAAGGTATGCATCTTGTTAGTCAACATACTTTTTATTTGTTTATTTTTTTCATTAAATGTACTAAAAAACTGTTATATGATTAACTTTAACTAGCATCAATTTTTGGATCAATTTTATCAGACCTGCTTCCAGTATAATTCTAAATAATTCTTTGATATTAAAATAATTATTAATTATAATTATTAATTAATTTCATTTTAGGTTTACGGATATAGTTGTTTTCTAGGCGGTATAAGGTAAATTCATATTCTGCACCATATTGTCTATTTAAGTAGTTACTGACCACATCCTGATACAGATATAAGGAAATGGAATTCAACTTTTTAGCTGGAAAAACATATATGTCTTTTTTAATATTGATGGTTTTCGTGATCACAATCCCAACAGCATATTCTTCAACAATTGTAGATTCTGATCACCAAACAGAATTGGATACAAATCGTAAATGTCAATAGTCTTGTTGTTTATATATATTTGTTTTATTTACATTAAGGGTCAAACTCATTATTATGCATTTAATGACTGCGAAGATGAATCAGAACAAAATCGAAACAGAAACCACAAACAACACTATATGTAACTATACCTATGTAAGTCGTGTTTTATTTAACCAAAATTTGAAATCGTAATTAATAAATTTCAAATTTACTATTGTTACTATCTGTGCGGACTATCTTTCTGAAAGCATAGTTGGTTTGGCCGAAAGTTGGAATATCTCAACTAAATTTGTAGGCCTTATATTAATTCCAAATTTTGGTAACGCATCTGACTAGTATGTAATTTTAATATTTTACATACATGTATAAGTTTTCATACCAAAATTGACACATGTATTTTTTGTCTTAGTTTAAATTCAATTACTCATACTCGAGAAAACGCAAAACTAGATCTCGGTAATATTTTTATATTTTTACTAAGGTTGTTTTCAAGCAGTTCCATCTATCATTCATAGGACATGTCTATATATAAGAGTTTGTATTGCTGTTACTTATAAATCAAATGAGTTGACTCACCTCAATTTTATATGTAAATTTATGTAAAAAAATCACTTAAATTTAATTTTTGTAAAAGTATACATATAAACCTTTCTCTAAATTTT